GTTTTTTTTTCCTGGGCGAAATGATTCAGTAGAAAAAAAATGGCGTGTCTAGATGAGCGCGAGTGACGCTTTGCGTCATGGTCATTTAATATGCATGGATTTTTGTAGGCAGCAAAGTTCAATAGTCCATTTATCAAACACTTCTTCTTCTTCTTCTTCATTTTTTTTTGGTTAAAGTGCACGGATAATTAGAGCGTGCGATATTTGCTGATATTCCCCAAAATTTGTAAAGTGAAACCAAAAAAAAAAAAAAAACACCTAATACAACAGATAAGTTCAATGCAAAGTGCAGATTGAATGCAAAACCGACACAAAGCAAAATCGACTGCTATTTTCGACTTCATTAGACAAACAGCGACAGAAAAAAAAACTTACTTCCAGACGGAATATTCAGCTAATCTGATGATTTAAGAATGCCATGCGAGACATAGTCGCAAAGCACTCATTAACGTTTTTAAGTAAAAAAAAAACTCGGAATATCACTGCATAGATCAATTTAGAGATTTAAAATGACGACAACAACAATGAAAATGACCATTCAACTGCATAGCTTTTGTGTTGGAACATTTTGTGATGTCATTTAGCATTTGATGATTTAATTTTGTGCCATCGACATTGATGGACGCACCGACAAATCGATCGGGTCTATTATCAGACACAAACACGCCATATGGGCACGTTCGTATGCCCATGAAAAAAGTGTACAGTGTTTAATTGCACAATTTGCGGTAGAACAACTCTGAATATTTCAATTCACACATTTACCTGAAAATGGACGATCCCATACTTTTCCCTGTGATTGAATTATATCGGCTACGGAAAGCATTGGTTTATCTTTTTTAAGCATTTTTTGTTTAAACAAATACTCGATCGAATTTCAGTGTCGCTCGTTCAGTGGCACTGGATCCTTCATCGGTGATTTTTTATTGTGACGGCCCGCGGGTTTGATTGTTTTTTTTTCGGGCCTTTTTCAGTTCTTCACTATTCCTTTCTCGTTCATTTAACAAAGTTTTTCTTTTTCAACTAGAATAAATTTTCTGAATGTGATTCTCTTTTTTCTGATTTATTTTTTTTTTCTCTGCATTTTTCACGCGCGAAATGAGAGAAGAACAACTCGGTAGTAATAAGTTACCAATTAAATGCACTTACGAGCTATAAATTGATTGCAATAAATAGGTCGATTAGTGATGACACTTAATTACATATTCGGTACGACGCGACGACACAACACCCAAACGAAATTCGAAGGAATAACAAAAAGACACTCACACCCGACTTTGCCAAATTGTTTGTCTGCGTTCAATGAATATTGATGCATTTTCGAAACAATTTTCCATTTTTATGGCGTGCCACACATATCACAGCATACGGTCGAAATATATTTATTTTTTGCACATTTTTCACACGACGTCGATTTTAATTGTTGTGGTAAAAATAATTGAACTTTAGTCGTTCTGGTGTTCATTTAAAATTGTTCGAAATTCTTTTGTTTGTTGGACGGGGCCAGTTCAGTGATGGGAACGGGATGATTTGTTTGATGATTCTTTTTTATCGTGGAATCTTGTGAATAAAGTTGCATTTCAGCTGACCGCTGTTAATGTGATCCCACTTCTGGGAGCATTCTTGATTTTATTTACGGTTCCACCCGAAAAAAAAGGAACAAAGACCGATCTGTTTTTTGCCAACAACCAATTGGAATTGAATGAGCGAAGAAAGACGACGACGACGACAAACATTTTTTTTATAAGAATAATAAAGAATCAACAACATTTTGTTTTCATCACAAAATTTTTATATATTTTATTGGCTTGTTTGTGTTACGCAATGGTTTCGGTGTCGTTTTTCTTTTGCACTGTGTGTGTGTGTTGGAGCGTTGCACATCTTTGTGTGAGGCTTGTTTACACATTCGTTTGATTTCGTGGTTCGGTTCCGCTGTCGCGTAAATTCAATCATTTTTTTTTCTCGTCTATTGCAATTAAATTATCAGTTTTACTGCGCTTGTTGTGTGCGCGCGCGCGCGCCTTTTTTCGGGCTGTTGGCATTGTCAATTTGTGATATGATCAAAATGTGTACACTTGAATCTATTCGTTGAAAGCCAATATCTTCAATGCTCATTCGACGGCATGATCTTGGACAAACGGGTGCAACTGATACACTCGGAATGAGGAATCAAGATTTATTTTGGGCCCGACAATTGAGTTGATGAAATCACATCATCGACGATGACGGGCGGTACCGATGGTGGTGAGCGACGGGCGCTCGTATTTGAGCGGGAAACTTAAAACAAATTACAAAGTCAAACAATTGATGCGCTCGATCCATTCAAACTTTCGCGCATTGGCGATGTGATAAAATGGCAAAGTGATTGCTCTACCGACTGTACTGCGATTGATGCAATCAGTATTCGCCTTAGGTACTGTATCAGATTTCATTCTGAGACTATCGCGCCAGTGCCTTCGTTCCGATTTGAATTTGTAAAATGGTGTACTTTGTGTGTTCAAGTGTGTGTGTGTGTGTGCGCTCGTCCTCTTCTTTTTTATTGATGTCGGAAAAACAAAGACTGTTTATTCAGTAGGTGAATCAAATAATGAATAGCATTGCCACATTTGGCTACCTCAATTCAAAGCTTGTTCGATATACGCGTAAACAAGTTACACCAAACTGACATTATTGATCTATCAACACGATCAGTAGCTGTGACGATCAATGAATTGCGAAGATTACATTGGATTCCGTCGATTGAGTGAATTACAATCAATAAATGTGAGTGAGTGATGCTGACGGAACGGAACAGTATGATCGGATGAATTTCGGTTGATCATCGATTTCAAACACACATTCACATCAAATCAAGTCAAATATGAGAGATGAAGGTAAAGAAGAAAAAAAAATGACCAGAGCGAAAATGGTTGTACATAGGAAAAAATCTCTATGAAAAATAACAAACTGCGACATTCTCAATTGAAAGCGAAAAGAAGAAGAAGGAAAGCCAAAGGAAACAAAAAAAAAAATTATTGGAATGCCATTTGCATCATTAACAAGGGAATAAATAAATTATAAAATACATTATAAGCACACACAATTCTGTGTGTGTTTTATTCTTCTTTTTTTTAATTTTTCGTGTGTTATCGACACGGCGGTGGGAAAGAATACGACCGAGACACACTTACACAAATGGAATTCGGAATGGGACAACCGGCGAGTGTGCGATGCGCGCTCGTGCGCTCAAGAGACAAATAAGTGAACGCAAAAGCTGTGATATTATTTTTTCCCCGTGGTGGATCCGGCCGCTTGAATAAATATATATTTCGACATTCGGCCAAATTTATGTTTACTTGATAAGTTGTTTCAATTGCTTCGGAAATCCATTTAAACGCGTTTCGCTTTTTTTTCGTTCGTAATATTTTTGTTTTCTTTGTTTTGGCGCCGCATTCTGTTCATCATCACACATCACGATCCAGAAGTTTGTTTTGTTCCAAAAAAAAAAAAAAAATAATGAGTGAATCAAACAAGGGAGGGAAAAAAAACTTGACGCGGTGAAATAAAAAATGCGCATCGCGCCAACAAACAAATAATGATGTCAGTTGCAGAAGAGAGTGTATGATTCAGGTCGACCAGTGCCAACACATTTTAATTGGTTAGATTTTGTACTTTGAAATGGCGACCGAGTGTATATTTTGTAAGCACTGCGTTTCGTGGAACACAACTTTGGATCACACTTTGGAAAAATGAACGATTTTCTTCCATCACGGTTCGATTCATCGGCAAATTTGAACTTTTTTTTTCGGTTTTATGATTTGGTTTTTTTTCTATGATCTTTGCTTGATTTCTAGGCTAATTTACCTCTCGAACGATAAAAATCAACGATGTTAACCTTAAAATGTATAAAATCGATGATTCAAAGTCGGAAATAACCGTCAAGAGACTGTAGTTAGAATGGTGAAAATCAGCAAATCGTATAATACCGATACGCTGAACTAATTAGGATGTGGTCGAGATCTTTATAGATCTAGAGAATATATATTGCATCGTTTCAATGAATATAATTCACGGTATGTCGACAGCATTTCTTTTCTAGATACAATGTAAACTGATTGCATTGGCTGTTGGTAAGTGAAAAACTCGCTTCTCACCAGATGTGTTTGCGTTCATATTTTATCATCATCATCATCATCATCAGATGATGAGTCAAAAACAATTCAAATTAATTTTTATTTTCTGCAACAAGTTAATGCCAGTAATTACACATCGATCGATTTTATAAATGGCGCCTACACATGAATACTATGATGGCTCCTTTAATGGCTTTGAGATTTCGATAATGAATATTGTATAGAAAAAAAAGTATATCTATATGCCCATTCCAACAAACACTCATCACACACACTCGACACACACACACACACACACACACACTAAGTACACTTCTATAAAATGTACAAAACTCGAATAAAATGACGTCTTGAACGCCATGCAATTTATACTATGCGGAGTGTCACAAACTCGATTTTGTTGGATATATTAAAAATGCGAAATAAATTTGCATATATCTCTTGAAGCTTTAGCTGAAGCTGAAGCTGTGTGTCGTTTATTTTTTGTTCTTGTTTTGCTTTCATTGTTTTAAGTTTGTCGAGACGAGATTCGGTTGTAGACAATTAATGAAATAAGCACACCATAAACACACATATTGTTTTTAATTATTTATCCTTTGGATGAATATGCCACCGTAATAATGCTGAAATGTGTCAAAAATCCGAAATTTCGCAGCCGATTATCATGAAAGAACCACTATGAAACAATGCCGACAATCACGAATGTCAAACGAAGTATTTACACGAAAATCAAACTCTCGCACAAAAAAAAACTAGCACAACTGCTCCAGTCGTTATTCCAATTTTAAATTTTAAAATGTGTTTTCAATTTCATTTGCACAACCGATACAAATCTAATCGTCGATTTTAATAAGAAAATTTCAGACGAAACAATTTTCGAAGGAAAAAAAATAAATACTTTGATGTATAAACGACGACCATGTCAACCGTAACACAAACACGAGAATGTGAGATAGAATTGGCGCGCTTGGCAGCCAAACAGCACCGAACCTACCGATAACACAGCTGAAACTGTACTGTTCTATCATGCGAAATAAAATTTGAGTGAGTTGATATTGTGGCGGCATTCAATACTCACAACAACGTCAGTCGATTCAGGCTAAAAGGAAAGGGCGGTAGGCTGTTTTGTGTGTAGCATAAGTGAATTTGTTTCGATTTTTTTTTTCTCTGCCTCTCGCCGTTGTTGTGCATTTGTTTTGCAAACATTTGCATACATTGATATGAATGAGGAACGAGGGGGAAAAAATCGGACTTGTTTTTGGCAATTGACATATTTGGTGTGGTGTAATGAGTGGTCATTTTATTGGATAAGAATTATTGTTGACCAAAGGATGCAATACCGAAATTCGGGTGCAAATATTTTGCACATAATTCACAAGTCATTAAGATTTGGATTCGGGCGTTCTTCTTTCCGTATTATCCACGAAAAAATGAAGAATATCTGAAGTATGAAAATCGCGTAGGTTTTGGGTTTACAAAAAATATATATTATTATTTATTATCGATGCTAACGGACATATATATATATATATATATAACGACAAAAGCCTATTTTGAGGAGTTTATTTGCGCATTTCACAGATACAGAATCGCATTCAGTTTACATTTTTCATAGTTGTTGTCGTTGTCGTTGCTGTTCTCAACATGCATCGGGTATTTAGAGTGTTCCAACACCACCTTGTGTATGAGAGTTAGATGAAGATGTATGTGCGTCGCACAATATATATACACCGAAAGAAGAAGAAACAAAATCACCACGATAGAATGCACAGGAAGATTCAGAGTGGGATAGATCGACATCAGTTTACATTTCAACACACACACATACCAATATGCATACACAACACCCGAATCGCGAGCGCACCGAAAATTGGCCGAAATATTACGTACAACAACAATAACTGCAGAAAAATAGACGTGGCATAGCGAGAGTCATTTAGCGGTGAGTTCTTGAATTTTTTTTTCAATGCCTTTTTATACTAGGCGCGCTCACCCAACGTGATTGCATTTTTCCGGGCTAATGGTTAGATTTTGCGTACTATTTAATATATATACTATATATTTGATAGACATTGGGTTATGAACACTGTTGCTGTTTTCTTTCTTCTTCTTTTATTTTTTCTGTGGTTGTGCCGCGCGTTGCGTCTTTCCAGTCATTTGTTTTCATGCACACCAAGTTTGAGGTTGTTTGAATCCTATGCGAAACGATTTATAATGCACATGGAAAGGGCGTTTCGCATGTAAACGAATGACTCTATGCGGTTTTCTCTCCCTCTCTCTCTCTCTCTCGTCGTTGCTAACCGTTTCGTGATAACCTTGAAAAGAACAGTGTCATAGAATTCAACGGCAAAATTTGAAAGGAAAAAAAATCGATTTTTTATTGATTCAAATCCTTTTTCCTTCGTCGAAGGAAATGTGGTGCCGTTTATTTTGATAGTTCATGTTTTTTTTTGCTCAAGTCTTTGTATTTGTCACCTGGTTGCACAATGCACATTCACGATCGCCTCGTCGTTTATTGCTTATGATAAATTCAATCACGAAATTCAACACCGTCTCAATTCGGCGAAAGTGATCCAATAACATGTAGCCGGTCGGTCGATTGGTTGATGATTTTTGTCTGGGTCAAATTTCGACGTCGTCTAATTTTTCTTTAAATTATCGCATGGAATAATAAATTATACGGACTTGAAATAGAAAACACTGACTTGCATACAGAGAGCGGGAGAGAAAGGAATGTGGACGCATGCATACACATTTTCTAAATGTTTGTCACGACATCTGTCAATTGTCGCATGAGAAAAGCGGTCCAAATTAGTGTGACCAATCAAATGGCTGGCACGGAATATGACGTTCTCTTCAAACACTGTTGCTGCTCTTCTTTTGCGGTGTTCATACGTTCGGTTACGGGGAGCCAGTTTTGTGAGTGTGTGTGTGTGTGTGTTTTTCGCATATATCCTTTTGTGTGCAACACAATATCATATTTCTAAATATATCTATCGCATAAATTGTTTTTTTTTTCTTCATCAAAATTTGTATCAGAAGCCATCATCGTATAACGGACGAATGGTCTGAAGGATGTTGCAACATAGAGGACACCGTTTTGTTTTGTGCGCTGAGACTTTAATGCGATTCCTTTGGTTTTCATTGAATTTGGGCATTTGTGTTTGTGTGTCACAACAAAATGTTGATAATTTTCTTGGCGTCTCGCGCACACTGCGCTCTGTCCATGCTCATCGTGTGTTCGGTCGCACTTGAATTCGCATCGAACGCTTGGTTGCAATTTTCCTCCATATATTCGACCGCTATTCTCAGCGCTCACACATGCCGACAGAGAGAAAACACACATACACACGCCAATCACCGTTTATATGCAAACACACAAATCGTCGCATTTAGTGCAAATGTATTCACGACGCTTTGGCTTTAATAGCGATTGAACATGAATCAACCAACATTTCATTTTGGCTATATGTGTCCTCGAAAGAAAACGTGTGCGTCCGCGTTTAGTCTAGACGATGAATTGTATACGATTATAGCCTAGTTATAGACATAACTCGGAATGGATGAGAATAACGTGAGGGGAGTGAGGGAGTGAGACAGAGCTCTAAGCGAAGAAAAAAGAGGGAAAGAAAGAAGAAATATTCGGAGAAAGACAAGCGATGACAGAAAAAAAAAACCTGACAAAACAATAGCATGAAATCGAATGTGGGAGAAACAGAGAGAGAGAGAGAAAGAACCACATTACTGATAGAACCGAATCCTTGACAGCAAAAAAAACTGTTACAGATAAAAATACATTCGAAATATGTTTCATGTTTATTCTTTGCTAACGGCATGTTTATCAAACGATCCACAGCTATGCCCGCAACGCTATTGTTTATTGTTCGTTTCAGTATTGTTTTCACTCTTTTTCAACGCTCTTTTCTCCCACGAGATTGTTATTTGATAATTATCTCACTGACTGGTGAACCAGCAGTGATATACACATCAAAATATATCATTCATTCGAATTGAAAAAAAAAACACATTCATACGAAAAAACCTTTAAAACCTCAGAATTAATTATCTCTATGCTAGAGACACACATACTTTGCAGCAATTTTGAACTTGAAATTCAAGGTTTCCGAAAAAAAATAGTTGATTTTGAACAATTTCTCACCTGAATCATTTGTATCCATATTTTTATTTGTTATCTAATGTGGTTTCAACAGCGTTGATAAGCGTTTGTTTCGATTGCGTTGTTGTTGTTATTGTTGTTGTTGAGGCAAATAGTAAACTTATTGGGCGAAAATATCCACCGGCTTATTTTTGATTCACAATATCCGTAGTTTTTTTTCTCTTTCTTCTTAAATTCACAATATTCTACACTTGTTACTCGATTTTTGTACCGTATTCGTAGGTTTATCTGCTCGAAAACATTGGTTTCAGTGAAAAGTTTATCCGATGTGTACCTGAAAATTGAAAACGAAATTTTAGAAAATGCTTCTCGATTCATTTGAATTGAAAAAAAAAATCGATTTGATAATGAAGAAAAAAAGGTTTTCCGTCTTAAAATTTTAAGCATACTAAAAGCACACCCTTACAAAAGGATTGATTTGAAAAGTGTTCGAAAAACGACGTAAAATTATAGATAGAACGCTGTTTGAGGATAAAAGTCTTATTTATCGACAAAAAAAATTGATGAGTAGTTGTTGAAAACGACAAAAATATAAGAAAATTGAAGCTGAGAACGAGACATCAAAATGAACTTCACTTGCTATGAACCTTGCCTATAGCTTCTACGTAGAAATTCCAAGAATGTCGTTCGATGTTGCGAACGAAAACTTCAGTTCATTGAGCGGAAAATGCAGTGTAAAACACGGGAAATTGGCAATGAAATCAATCCTGGCGCTTTGCAGTATAAAAAAATGGAATAAAATCATAAATTATGAAATACATACTCGGCTCATCATTAAATTAGATAGCATTGAATCTGATTTTTTCTTGCCTTAATCGTTAAGTGAAAGTCAGCATGTATTTCGTTTTGCTCTGTTTACCGCAATGTGTTGCTTGAATTTCCTTTTTAATTATTATCGGGTTTTGTTGTGTGTGTTTTTTTCTTCTGCCAATTTTTCTTCTTATAAAATACAGTAACACAGTTGTAAATGAGAATCGACATGCCATGTTTGGGTCAGAAGAAGAGCATGAAAACAGAGAGCGATTTTTTTTTCTTCATAAATGAGATGCAATCGCTGCAAGGTATAGATAAATGTTTTGGTATGGAATATGCAAAAGAATGTGTAATGAAAATGTGCGTTTTCGTTGTGCACCGCGCTCAACGATGAAGGGTGGCTGAGTGCAACGCGTTGCAAATAAAAAGGCCGACAACCAAAAATGATGTGTATGTGTAGCGACGCCAGAATGGTGTCAATAGATTATGTTTGGCTTTCGAATTGGGGTTTATCAATTCGGTCGTTGTCGTTGCCGTCGTCGTCGTCGTGTTGTGCTCATATTTAGATCGCTAGCCCATAAATACCATCGAGTATGATGTGTATGTGTGTGTATGTGCAGAGAAATTCAAATCAGAAGTCGCAACCAAAATACTCTATGTCTCTCTTCCAATACGCAGACAGAGACAGAGAGAGATAGAAAGACAGAACCATGTTTTTTTTTGTACTCGACCTGAAGTAAATGCTCTCGATTGCATGAGATTCTTCATGCAAATCAAGCAACAAAAAAAAAACTCAACGCCAAAAACATCAAACAAATCAAATGAACGACGAACGAACGAGCGAGCGGCAGAGAAAGAAACACGACCGATTCTCGCGCAAAAGTCATTAAAATATGGCGTGCTTCTTCTTACACCATACACACATCCATGCACAAGCGTACAAATATATGTATGATGGCTTATGTGCTAGCTCACGCACTCTCTGACAATAAACCTCAATAAAATGATGTTGTTCTTCGTCGTCGTCGTTGTTGTCGTTCATGTGTAATTGTTGTAACGACAACAACACCAAAAACAATAGTGGCAGCAACAACAGCAGCAGCATTTAGTAGAAAATACAAACTATTTACATTTCCTAACAAATTCAGTTTTTGTCGCAAGAATATTTGCGTTTTTGATTTAGTCTCCTTTTCTCTCGCTCACTCTCTCCGTGCATTTTGCATTCCCTCCATATATTTGGTTTGGTCGTCGCTGTCGACGCTGTTGTCGCTGTCGTCGTCGTCGTTGTCGTCGTAAAACCCATATATTTTCTCTGTCAGTACACTGCATTTTCGCGCAAATACACACATGAACTACATTTACACATTTACAGTGAGTGCGCTGGTACAGGTCATGGTTTTTGGCTTCAAAGTCGGGGGAATATTGCACTTTACATTGAATTTTATATCTCTCTCCCGTTTCATTCCAATCCGAAAAAGGTTTCCCATGCGCTCGATATATACCACTTGGATCGATAGAATTTTCATTGTTATTGCATGAATGAAGAGAAGAAAATGAGTCTCAAATGGGGTGAATCTCTCATTGGACGGCATATTACCAATTTCTCGAGTGAGAGTAAGAGCGACAGAGAATTCGTTTGAAACAGACACGATTTTCAATTGACGTAATTAGACGTGCTCAACGTGAGCATCGGTCGCGTTTTATTCATATCTCGTGAATGCTCAAAATCACCATAGAAACATTCATTTTTTGTTTCGGGCCCAAAAATTGAACGCAAACGAGCTTAAAAATAGGCAAATCGCTGTTATGTAAAACCCTATAGTTCTTTCTATGTAGAATTCACCTTTTGTATGTTTTTGTTTCAATGGGCTCTCTAACTCGTGCACGATTAAATAAACAACAAATAATTCATTTTGATTGAATCGCTGAATACAATTTCAAACCAAAAATCAACAACACAAAAACTTTTTTCATTACACGTTTTTTTTTTGGGGTGGGTATCTTGTAAAATAATGGCACACACACTATTCGAAAAAAAAAACCAGCAGAAAAGACTGTAATGCGGGTTTAAAATTGTTTACTGCAAATGAGATTCACAGGCCGATTTCAATATCACCGCCAATTTATTTCCATTTTTTTCTCTCAATTCGTTGAAAATCCATTGAATTCACACGGTTCTCACATTGGCGAATGGTTGGAATTAGTTGCAAAGATTTTAACCGAATTCCAAATAAAAAAACGTATTTCAAATCGATGTAAACGATGCAAGAAATTACATACACAACACCGACCGTTTGCTTTAAACACCGAACCGAAAATCACAGATGAATAAATAATGTTACTATAAAATACAATCTTATCCGAAGAAATGACATATTCGATTGTATCCAGCACGAGTGAAACGAAGCACAAGGAGCAAGTGAAAGACAACACACAACTACTAGCGACAAGTGTACGTGTGTGTTTGTTGATTGATGACTTTTAGTGGCTCAGATTGCAGCTATTAAAAATGTCTATACTCTGTTTTTTTTGTGGTTGTTGTTGTTCGGAAAACCTAAATTTGTTTCGATGGCGGGCGTACGCATAACACCGAGTAAAATAAAAACAACACGAACAAGAACGAAAATTGCACTTAATATCAATTCCAATTCCACCATAAGCTATCAACAATGTAAAACGGATAGGCACACAAATTGCTAGCCCAGTTTGACGTTTCGAATAAAGCACAAAAACAGGGGAAAAAACGAATTCCAACCGCAATATACATGTGTGTAGAATATTTACCAAAAATTTTAAGCATTTTGTATGTTTTGTCAAATGCAGCCTTGCTCACACACTCTCCCTCTCTCTCTCTCTCTTTCTCTCTCCAATACACAAAACTGACGAAGAAAAAAAAACTGTGTAAAATGTGGCTTAAGCACGCCTTCACCCAGGATATACAATACAAATGCCGATTATTATTGGTTTCTCACACGGTTTCGTTGCGCGATGTGTGTTGTTATTTCAAGTTTACATGTACACAAAATACAGAGCAGAAAAAAAAACGAAAATTTCACTTGTTGTTGTTTTTTTCGCTTCTTCTGTTGTTGATGTTCAATAGCACTTTCAAAACAGATAGTTGTTGTTGTTGTTTTTCATTTAAATGATGATCGCAGTCTCCAAAATCACCGTTTTGCACTGTTGTGTGTATGTATATTTTGACAAAGTTTCACAATCGGTTTTTAAGTCCATCGAATCTCTCAAGATCTTGTTTTTAATAATTTTTTTTCTTCTTCTTCTCTCTCTCTCTCTCTCTCTCTCTCTCTCACTCTATTATTTTCCCAACACCATTCAACTCAAACTTTGCGGTACAAATTTGTTGTGTCGATGCGAAAAGATATTATTTTTTTTCCATTTCTGGCCAATTTTCGATTGGTTTACGTTTGCGATTGTGTTAAATTGAAAACGCAACGTAATGAGAGAGAAAAAAGAAATCGAATCAAAATGAGAAAAAAATGAAAAAAATAACACAGAAAAACACACACTCGACTGCTTGCATTGAACCTTTTCGTCTGTTTTTTTTATTTTATTGGTGGTGTAGTGTTTAACTGTCAGTGCGTACCATCTTCAAATGTATTTATGCCATACATTTATTCATACGTTCGTTCGTATACGTATAAACGATACAGTATTGTATGTGGTTGTGGCTGGCTAACATTGATTGACGTTCGTTGTGAACTTTCAAAATGTGTCGTATCTCTGTTGCTCGTGCTCAATTCGCCACACAATCTGGCTCGTTCGCTCTCACATACACATACACATCACACAAACACGACGAACACTGCACACCGCACACCGCATTACGAACTAGTTGCTGATGGGCTGTAAATATAAATGCTACATTAAAATAGAGTGTGATGGTATATACACGTCTTGTGTCTGCAACTTGAACGTAGCCTTGTTTTTCAGCACAAAACTTCGTCTTTTCTTTCGAGTTTTTTTTTCTGGCCAATATTTCATATCGTTTCGCATCTATACATATATCCATTATGTTTGCATGTATATTTTGGTGTGATGCTGAGCCAAAAAAAAATAATACACACCCAAGCCAAAGCCAATGCGCCGTCTACTGCCACCAGCACACATAGTTCCTTTATTTTTTCTCATTTTTCGCGGGTTTTCGAAATCCAAATGAAGAAAATGTTGCCTCTGATTTGTTGAATTATCATTCCGAGTTGAATATCTACGGTATTTTTTTTTATGATGTCAAGCAAAACGTCGCTTTTCCCACATAAAAATTCTTGAAAAAAAATTTTTTTTTGCTGAAAAACGTTCATCGTAAATCAATTCTGTTTTCGATAAAAAAAATTTCAAATGAGAAATCATTCATTTGCTGCACGTTGTGAACGCATCCTAATCATGTCGAAATCCACATGATAAAATACACCCATACATTCGCGCTTAAAAACACGCACGCACGCACACATATCAGCCTAAATGTCAGTTTGTCACCCAGTGTTTGCTCAGTGAGGCACGAAATGTTTCGGTATTTTAATTGAACGAACCTGCCTTTTGTTTATCGGCAGCACTCGTGATGAAAATTTCTGTTAGCAAATTTACATTCGATACCAATTGCAACGGTGCATTGTCTGAGAACATTGACGCCCTCGAAACAATTTCAACTGACCGAGTGCTACGCGAGCTGTAAATGCTCACAATAAGGTAAAAAAAAAAAGAAGAAGCTAGCAACAATATCAAACGGCCTTCAAAAATCGATCGGTCGAATATGAGTGTAACGCATTAATTACCCTGTGTGTATGACAACTAAACTCAAAGTAAATGGTACTGTAGAGAAAAACTAATTATTTTCTTGTAATTTTCAATGAAAATGCTCTTTTTGCTCAACTTTGAACATTTTTTTCTTTCTATTTTCTTCTAAACTTTAGAATCAAATTTGGATCAATTGTTATCGTGTGCGTGGTTAATTAAATGCATGACCGGCAGTACGATTTAGTTGCAGACGATGCAAACAACAGCAACAACAACAATAATAACCACAACGACCGAAAAATGCTTCCACGAATCTGTCATTTGTTCCGATTGAAATATGTGCTGTTTGGATTGTTGGTGATTTTTCTATTGGATTTTTTCGGTGCATTTACGCATATGTTTGAAGAAGATTTCCATGCATCATTTGAATACCCATTGAATGATCCGAATATACCGCACTATGCGAAGCAGCTGCGAAATGCAAAGCAACCTGATGTCAAACCAATCAATGGCTATAATTATACCTACGGGTATAATTGTCGACAGAAATGTCGTGACGAAGATGATGCAATGATCGTTCCACGGCTGGTTTTTATCGTAAAATCGGCTATGAATCATTTCAGTCGTCGCAGTGCGATACGTCAAAGTTGGGGCTTTGAAAAGCGATTCTCCGATGTGATCATTCGGACCGTGTTTACGCTTGGTGTTATCGACGGTACAACACTCGAGCATCAAGATTTACAAACTGCCATCGATAGAGAGCACGAACAATACGATGACATCGTTCAGGCAAATTTTATTGATTCATATTATAATAATACGATAAAAACGATGATGGGCTTGAGATGGGCCATTGAATATTGTCCACGTAGCCGATTTTTTATGTTTGTTGACGATGATTTCTATATTTCTACCAAAAATGTACTCCGATTTTTACGCAATCCAATTAATTATCCGGAATATTTGGAGGATGCCGATGAAACGCTACGTAAACTAGCCAGACGACTAAGCCAATCGGATTTATTGACGAAAAATCAATCGTTGAACAACGAATATGAAGTGGGTGAGATTAAAAATTTAATCGACAAAAATTCGATACACACAATCGATGGCAAAGATCATATGAAACGAATACAAGAGTATGTTGCCAAAGCCGAGACATTGACACAGAACGATAGAAAGGGACGACAATTGCTTGACACCGAATTACCATATGATGTCAAATTATTTGCTGGTTATGTTTTCTCATCGCATCCACATCGACACAAGTCCAGCAAATGGTATGTTTCACTGGATGAATACAAATGGCACAAGTGGCCAACATATGTCACTGCCGGCTCATTTATATTGTCACGTGAGGCGCTCATCGAAATGTACTATACCAGCATGTATACAAAACACTTTAGGTACGATTGAATCAAACGGATTGATTAATTCTCTGTTGAATCAAGAGGAATATGCATTTCGAATCAAAAACTTTTTTGGAACAATTCAATCGAATTTTGAAACAGAAAACTAACGCAATTGTTATTCAATTTTCAGATTTGATGACATTTATTTGGGCATCATAGCGTTAAAGGCAAACATTGAACCATTGCACTCGGAGGAGTTTTACTTCCACAAGGCAAACTACATTGGGCCACAGAGCTATCGATATGTCATTGCTTCGCATGGCTATGATGATCCCAATGAAATGCTTCGTATATGGACATCCGCCAAAGCGTCCGGTCATGCATAAGATCCAATACCAAGAAAATGATGTCAAAAACCACGAGAATCAAACTGCAAACTGCATACAACTATTCAAAATAACATTCTGTGATTGATTTTCAGATATTTTTCTTTTTTTTCCTTTCGAATCGATTAAAACGAAAACGAATACAAAAACGATTTAGACAAGTAGATTTTGTTTGTATCACGGGGAAGATCTTAATAATAAACATAAGCAAAGATACATATAGGCACACATGATACCATATTAGCCTATAGCGTATAGGTACATACCGATATGATTTTATAGCTTTTAAAATTTAGAATAAAATGCAGAATTAATCGAATTTTTCATGTTTATTTCAATTGGATTTTTCATGGACGGCAGCGAAGTAGCTTAAATTCTAAAAAATTCAACTTGGTTTAGAATGTTTTATATTGATCCTAATGGTGAGTATGAGTTAAAAATGTGGAAGGCACGAATTGATAACCATCGAACTACCACTAATGCCTGGGCCGTGTGTCATTTGACACTGCCAGTGCTATTTGTGCTGTATTATGCTGAACGTAAGCAATTTGCGGTCCTAAGCTAACGAAGGGAGACAGAATTTGTTTTTCGGCACATTATTCATGATGTCTCGTCTTGGTCTGATTCGAACTGGACTCTCGTTTGATATAATTGAGGACAACATCGGATGTGTCCAATAGCTAATGGAAAAGAAAAAATCAATAAAGGAAAATGAGGAAGGTAGAATATTTGGCGAGTGAGTTCAATACTATTCAAGTCATCGGGTAACCTTCGATTCTTTGATACTATCTAAGTCTATTTCTAAACAAATCTCATTCAAAGAGGACAACTTCATGAACTAACCTGTTTTAAATGAGTTTCGGTTTCATCTAATTTACGGCTCAGCTCTTCTCGTCGGCCTTTCATTGCGTTCAATTTTTCGGTTTTTACGTTGAGTTTCTCTTGCAGTAAATCAATCTCTTCGGCGAGCTGCATGACAACGAATATTTCTATTATTTATATACTATTACAAATACTACACACTGATAACTAAACATTCATGGCATTTTATTGATAACCAAAGTGAAAAAAATAGTAAACAGAAGAAAAAAAATGGCGTGATAAATTACCTTGGCCTGATCTAATTCTCCCTTGTGAATGAGTTCATCCAATTGCAGTCGTTGATTTTTGAAATTTTCAACATCTAAGCACAACGTTCAATACAGACGAATTATTATTATTCAAATGAAAAATGAAAAATATCTATCATTAATTCCACACAGGTAGACCCAGAATGAATTAAATTGAATGAATAAAAGTTTTGTTTCCATTACATTTGACTAATTCCATAATGTTTGTCTGTAAAATGGCACCATATTCCGACATTTTCGATTTTGATCGAAGTTTATGTGTGACCAATTTATTTTCGTTACCTATATATCTCAAGTGTTCGACGATTCTTTTTATCACAAACAGTTCATTGGCATGGCAAAAAAAAAAATCGTTTAAATGTTTGACATTTCGATTTGTTTACAGTTTCTCGTTTCTCGGTAAATACAACATCGAGAGTATGTCTGAATTCAATTCGGACATTTTCCAATAGATGTCATCATACATTGAATACATCGTCATCACCAATAGAATCGGGAAAATGTCACACATAAAATCTCTCACCGAAAAATATGTGTGAAAATCTTCATTTTCAATGCCATCAAATGGAAATGAATTGTATTTCGGTGGAAGGAAAATTCGAAAGAAAATAAAAAGCCGGCTGAAGCCATCTGCAGTCGTTCGATAACAATTTTTTTTTTATTGAAGAACATGTGCGTTCACATCGTACGCGCGCATCTACATTGTCAAACGACAATTCGATAGAGAGAGTGAGCAAACGAACGAACGAACGACCAACCGACCGACCGACCGACCGACCAACCGAGCGGGTAACCTGTACGTGTACATACGTATACGTGTAATACTAACACATGGATTTTGGCTACGGCAAGCGCGCGATCTTTCGATACGCAAAATATTTGGTTTGAACAGCACACACCAAATGAAAATGTGCTGTGGCGGCGCGTCCGTGTGTATTGGTATCTCCCCATCGGTGTAGTATAACCGAAGCAGTGTAGCTTTTGAAATAGTTTCAGTTCAATGGTAAAATCTCTTTCTTTGCGAATTCTGTTCATATTGTGTGCACACGGTTCCAGTCGACTCTAGGTAATTAACATCGTATATTTATTTCTCAATTTTAAAATGCATTCGATTATTTTCGATTGTCATTTGTTTCAAACAAACACAATTTTCATCCACAAATTTATTATCATTCCATCATTCTGATTCAATTGATTTGAATCGTAATTTTATTTCTTTTGGTTCGGTCGGTTTTGTTGTTTTTTCTTTTATTGTGCGTTCGCACAAAGTAAATTCAAAGTTTCTTTTTTTTTCGGTTCCCATGAAGCCGCTTTTTCTTAACGTAGTTGCACATTATCGGTGCATCTCATTTGTGCAACGCGCAGTTTTTTTTTCCATTTCGTATTTACCGGAAAAGGTGAAATGGAATGCATTCGAAATGAAACGACTGTTTTTTTTCGTCATTCTTCTACTTTATTCCCGTTCGTGGTAATCGCTCAAACACGTGTTTTCAAAATTTCAGAACATATATACGCATTCTGTATGCGATGCCGATATCCGTGTATGTGTATTTTCGTGTCTGAGAGAGTTTAATGTTCGCGCTTCGATTCTAAATCACCTCGTGTTTTTCGTGTTTCATTTTTGTTTTTTTGCTTCGTCGTTGAATTCATACTCTCTCGTTGAATAATTCTCAATTTGCGTTTTATGCGTTATATTTGTCGAAAATGTCATGTAAATCGATTCCGATTTCTTATACCGAAAAAATTCATCGAATACCAACCGAATAAAAAAAAAATGTTCGTTCGAATATATGAAATGCGAAGAAAAGAAAAATTCGTTGTTTCCATGAACCGTTGTCAACAGACAAGCACGAACACGACACGAAAACGAAAAAAAAAATACGCAGTTCTTTCATTTTTCAATTTGTTCTCGCGCGCTCTTCGTTCCGTCTGTCTTCTCGTTGTGTCTGTGTGTCGTCGCCGTCGCCGTCGGAACAGTAAGTGTGTTTCGCGTTTTTCGTACCAGCATTTACAAAGCAAACATATGCAGATACACTTTCGCGCTCTGTGTCACAGTGTGTGATAATTGTGTACATGTCTATATCTTCCTTTTTGCTCTCTACGTTACGACGGATTTTTACGTATATGGAAATCCGTGTATGATCGCTTATTGCGCATTTCATAGCCATTCAGTTGATACGAATTCTGCAAGAAAAAAAAAGACTATATAAACAACGAAACGCAAAAGAGCACACCAAAAAAAGAAATAACATCCACAAAGACAACACGATTCGTTTATTCGGACACTGTGGTCGCATCACTTCTCAAAATATGCATACATTGCATTTTCAGCGATTCATCAAAATGTGTCGCATTTTACCGATGTGAACGTCGGCTGCTTTTTTACCGCCTTTTTTTATCCTCATCATTTTGCTTTGCTCTACATTCAATCGAGAATTAAATGAAACGTATTATTTTTTTCAACAGAGGATCCAATCGAGTTTTTAACACATCGGCTTGAAACATTCAACCGTTTTATTCGAGAGTGAAGAAGAAGAAGAAGAAAACAAAACAAAACAAAATGACTGACAAAGCACCAGCCGATTCAACTGCATTAGAAATGCATGAGAATCACGATAACAGCGATGTCACCGAACAGCAAATGAATGCACAGTACCTATTGAACGCGCCAGCTTACATGTCGTCAGCCGTGCGTCGTCAGTTACTCCAAGAAATGGTCAAAGGTTTGCCTGCAAATGTACAGAAACGTATCAATGCACTTCGCAACATCGAACTCGAGCGTCTACAGCTTGAAGCCAAATTTTACGAAGAGGTAAACAAACAAAAAAATCAAACACTTGCCCAAATATAGTTAATTATAGATTTTCGTTTTGGTGTTTGTTCTATTTTACCAAGCCGATTATTTGCCAAATTTTAACTGTTAACTAAGTGGTCTGTTCTGTTCTTATTTCTTTGTGTACGCGTGTATCTAAAGGTTTATGCATTGGAACGAAAATACCAAGACCAATATCAGCCATTGCATGACAAACGAAAGGCCATTGTCACCGGTGAATTGGAGCCAAGTGGCAAAGAAACCGAATGGAACTATGAAGCAAACGATGAAGATGTTACACCTGAAGTACAAAGTATTACGAATGAATTGCGAAAAAATTTGCAGCTAAACTATCAAGATGATGTGAAAGGTGTACCCGATTTCTGGTTGACCATCTTCCGTAACACAGAAATGTTGTCGTCAATGCTTCAGGCACCCGATGAGCCGGCACTCAAAAAATTGATTGACATCAAAATCATTTACGAACAGGAACCGATGTCGTACACACTGGAATTCCACTTCGAACCAAATGAATATTTTACAAATACGGTGCTAACGAAACAATACTTCCTGAAATCGAAAGTCGACGCTGAGTATCCGTTTACATTTGAAGGGCCGGAAATTTACAAATGTGTCGGCTGCAACATTGACTGGCACAAGGGTAAAAATTTGACAGTCAAAACCATTAAGCGAAAGCAAAAGCATAAGGCACGCGGTGCTGTGCGCACAGTCACCAAACAAGTGCCGGCCGATTCATTTTTCAACTTCTTCAAACCGCCACAAATCCAAGATGAAAGCAAAATTGATCTCGAAGACCAAGCTGTACGTAGAGATAACGCATACACTGTTTTTCTTCATTTTCTTAAATGACCTAAATCGTGAAAATCGTCACTATTGACACTAATGTTTTGATTAATTTTTCAGATTCTAAGCACTGACTTCGAAATTGGCCACTTTTTGCGAGCTCGCGTTATTCCAAAGGCAGCCGTTTACTACACAGGCGACTTTGTTGAAGATGACGATGATGATGACTATGATGAAGGTAAGAAGAAAGACAAACAACGACAGTTGCACATGTGGCACTAATGCATTCCATTTGTCGATTTTTCAGAAGAGGAAGAAGAAGAAGAGGAAGGCGATGAAGATGAAGACGAAGAATCGGAATCGGAACCAGAAAGTCGGCCAACTGGAAAGCAACAACGCGGTGGACACGGTGGACACGGTGGACATGGTGGTGCCGGTGGCAACAAAAAGAAGGGCGGCGCTGGTGCCGGTGGTGCTGTCAGCCAAGGTACACCAGCCGAATGCAAACAACAATAAGAAAAATCAAATAAACCGAACGCAAACACTTCACTTCGCCAACATCGCACACACACACACACACACATAATCAATGTGATTTTATTTTTGTTTATTACAATTTTGAACATTTGCTCTTAATTATCCCTCTTTTTCACACGTTGTCTTACGAACATTTTGTTTTCGTTGATCCAACACTTTACAACATACAAATTGCAAATCAAATTATTTGACTAAGCCATCAAAACAACAACAAGAAGAAAATTGTAACCAAAATTGAATGTTCGTTAAGATATATCATTTCGTCAAATTGGTCACTTTTTTAATTTAAAGAAAGAAAAAAAAAACAACAATTTATTCAAATAAAATGAGAAGAAAAAACAACAACAACAACAACAACAATAACAACATGAATTTATAACTAACGAAAAGCAAAAACCGTGTCAATTTATTTCAATTCATTTTAATTTTAGATTTTTTATTGATTAATAATGGTGTTGAAAACAGGAAAAATCCCAATAACATTCTTCACCTGAATTTTGAATTAGTTCGCAGCTAATTCGTAAATGAACGAATCGGAAACGGAACGCACCCGTGTTTTTGTGCGCCTGGAACTGTCATCAATCCGTTTGCCATAAATTACAATACAAATAAAAAAGAAATCAACGAAAAAAAAAACATGTCGCAATGTCGCATTATACTCATGACACTAGTGTTTTCAGTGTTTTCGTTTAGTCAACAGTAAATTTCCCATGCAATTCCGTTTGATTTTGTTTGCATTGAATTTTAGTGTGGATTTGTGTACGAATTTCATTTGATTTGAATGAAATTATCTTTGTGATCCATTCCAAACGCGTTGTATTGAGTTTTAATTCATTTTTTTCTCCCCTGAAATTATAAATCTTTGTGTGAAATTACCCACAATAAATAAGCAATGAGAATCGACGATTGTTGTTCATTTGAATGAATGTAACCAATGAGACAAGCACCACATTTAGATGAGCTTGTGTGACCGGATTCAATGGAAATAGATTCAATAAATGCTATCTTGGGTACGTGATAAATTAACAGAAGGTCGTTTACGATGGCACCAAAGTTTACAACAGCAACGAACCAGCACATCACCGCCACCGCTTCCACCGCCCAACGCAATCGATTCACCCGCCACAACACCAATCGATAATCCATCCGCTGCGTCCATTGATTTGGATGACAATTCAAGTGTGGTACAACACCCGCCTGCCCTATCAATTGCTGCTACTCATCAGCAGCATCATTATCATCGTCCAGATGTCAATCTATCCCTTCAACTGCATGACACCACTATCAAACCAAATGGAGCGACCACTAAATACTCACACATCTCGAGAAGAGATCAAGGGTAAATGATGAAACTTTATTGTTTCCTTTTTTATTTTAACCATTCTTCTTGTCCAAGGTACTTATAATGGTGTTTCTTTTCGTTTTTGGTTTTTTTCGTTTTGTTCTTCTTTTGTTTAGGGTCAACCGTGGATTATGTGTCAGCCAGTATGACTCATGGTCGGGCACTGGAAGCTATGGTCATCATCAAACACCCACATCGATTGTCATCAATCGACGCGTAAACGATCCAACTGTACCTTATGTCAATCTGCGAATTTTCAATTGCGTCGGTTCGAAATGTACGATTTGTGCACCGCTTACGCTCACCTTTGCCGATGTTAAACGCAAAGTGGTGGCCGAATTTCATGCACGACGTCAACTATTCTTGAAGCAAACATGCCACACAAAATCCGGTGATTGTGCGGCGGGCAGCAGTAGCCGCGATCGGATTGAGGAACAAAAAATGAGCTGTGATAATTTAGACTTAGTTCAACTCTCGCAACACTATAAATTAGCACGAATTAGTAAACTGCACGAGAATTTTGATGAGCAATCCTCATTGGCCACCGCAAATGTAAAAAACAATGAAGAAATGCTATTAGTTTTATGCTCTGCCAATGCTGCACCGTTTTTGAATACAACAACACAACAACACACCAAAGATACGATGGCAACGGCGGTGGCGACGACGACGACGACGACGATGACGACGACGATGACGACGACATTATCTGCCGTTGCGACAACAACCATAACAAAGCAATCGACGGAAAATTTGGCCACAAATGTAACGAGACATCAACATTTGCATTATGACAGTGAGTCAGACAGTGATGACGATGATGCGACACATATTGCATCGTCAACACAGCTCGATATCGATTTGGCGACCGCACATTTACCGCTGCACAATATACATGGACCAGATGTGGTCAATATCGATGAATTGGTGCTACAAAGTGACGTACAGTATGACATTCGAAAAATTTTGATTTCTTTAGCGAATTCATGTGCCTATGTGATCGGTGCCGGACCATATGCAACACGAATCATAAGTATGCTGAAACAAAGACTCGTACAACGAAAACAACACGAACAAGACACACAACAATGTCTCATCGAAATGGGATTCTCGCGGCCAAAAGTACAACATGCACTCAACATCACGAAGTAAGTGGAATTTGATCTTTTTCAGGACGAAATTTGTGGATTCCACACTGTGGAATAATGTTCGATTTGTTCTTTGATTATCTATTTTAAATTGTGTTATTTACACTATTTCATGTGTTTACCTTTTCAGCAATGTATATGCGGCAGCCTTGGAATGGTTAATTGAAAATCAAAGCCCAACGAACCCATTAGTTGGCGCAGAAGAATCGCCGGCCATGAGTTTATCCTCCAAGTTTACCAATAATGTGAGTATTTTTTTTCGTTACATTAAACGGAAAATACGTTCGAAATCTAATTGAAAATGAATTATAGGCATCAATCAAGGACAATATCGAGTCATTGTTGGAAATAATTCGGATTTATTGTCAGCGGGATTTACCACCGCCAGCCGAAATGATTCAATTCATTGTTGGCATGGGTTTTGATGAGGCTACCGCATATGAAGCGCTCAAAATCACAAAAAATCATCAGTCAAATGCATGCGAGTGGTTGGTGGGCGATCGAAGTAAAATCAATCAATTTGAACAAAACGATGGATTGCCAAACGGTTCACCAATATTAGCCGCACTATTAAACTCACCGCATATTCAGTTGAGCCTTTCAAATCCGAAAATTTTTATCGGTGAGTCAAACCTTTCAAAAGTCCCATTTTTTTTAAAAATCAATTTATTCTTCCTGTTAAAATTGTCCAATTCAAACTACAAAAAAATCTCCAACTTTTCTATTTTAACTTTGTTTCAACATACTTATGATTATGTCTATTTTTTCGTTTATATTAATCAACAGCATATTTATCGATACTGGAAGACTATGGATCGATGAGCATGTGGATGAATGACAGTGAGACATCAAGTGTGATCGGCCAAGTACTGCGTACTTATCATGAAGAAAAGCATATAATGGCCATTAACCAATTTTCACAAAAGTAACATCCACTCAAACTCCTAAGCCATACTCTGTATAATTTGTTATGTAGTGATCATGTTACTCTTAATGAGTAGAGTATTGTGAATAACAGCCACACAAACAAACCAAAGAATATTTTAGAGAAAAAAACCAAAAGAACTGCAAAATAACATTTAATTTAATGCAACAAAAAAACCATCCTGAACAAATAGGAAGTAGACTGTTTTGTGTACTGGAACCATTTTGCAAAGCAAACAACTAGTCGATTAAAAATTAATTTACATGCACTTTTGCCGCTTTTTAAACAAGAACAACAGCAAACAAAACATGACCGTATTTGCAGGCAACGCTTTCGTAGTCAACTGTGGGCCAGTCGTGAAAAATAGATTTTACAAATGGTATATTCTAACTAATGTGACTTTGCCATCCTCCCTCGAACTGGTTCAGATTATATCGTAGCTATTTATTTTACATTAATTGCAAGTCCAGAAACACATTAAACTGTGTGATAAATGCATGTTAAATAATCGCCGAAATTACCATAATTCAGTATTCTGAAGAAGAAGAAAACAAAACGGATTGTGCGTTTGTTCTTTTTTTTTTTCAAAGATTTTAACATTTGTAGAATGTGTTTTTTTTTTAAATGCCACTTTTAATGGAATTTTTTTTTCATCAAATTTTAATTAATCAATGATTTAAAGTAAATATTGCCAAGATTTGGATTATTGTAGATCTCGAAGATTTTTTTGTTGGTTTTTGTCTCTGCAGAATGATAACAGTGATAATGTTTTTACTTTTACTCTAGGATACAATAAGATCCTCCTAAAAAAAAGGTCGTACAAAATTTCGAATAACCTGCAATGAATTATAAATTAATTGGTAGAATGAATTACAAAATGGAGGCAAACAAATGTTCTTTTATGCCTGAGAGCTAAATGAATCAAATACTGTATTTTAGAGAGCTAACCATTGTAAATACGAATAAAATTTGGCTTGACTATTTGAACACCTGGTCGTTTTGTGTTTTTTTTTTAAATTAAAAATGATAAATGTTATGCAATTCAGTAATTATGCCAATATGAATGGATTTTTTATATCATTTGTGACTTGATGCGTTGATGAATTCCCAAGAAGAAGAAAAAATTAACAACAAAATTGGAGAATTTGCTCCTTTTCTAAAGCTTTTTCCGATGAATGATGGATAGCATGCTCTTCTAATTGAAAAAAAAATGATTCATTGGAGACGGTATTAAAATGGATTACGCAAAATTCCATGTTCTTTTTTCATCAATTGCCTACAACGATTGTTCATCACCTACAACACGGTTTGCACATTCTCCATGGAATGTTGGTGACAATAATGTGCATCTTCAAATGTAATAAATTCTTCTAACATGCTTTGAGTTTGGTTTGAAGAGAATTTTCAATTAATTTTTTTTTTTCAGCTGACGAATTTTTTTTTATTGTTGTACTAACTTTTGGGAGCGTGTAACCTCACAATGGATTGAGTAAATGAAACTGTATTGAATTTTGATATGAATATCAAATTTGAAATCTTACACAAAGCAAGGATAGGCAGATATTTGTCCAAACAAATCATATTCATCCACAATTATAATTTGCATGCGTTCTTAGTTTTATTTGCCCGATACTTACAATTCGGTCTGTTAACACAATAAATCCATACTCAGCAAAAATCCTACCAACAATTTCAAGAGTGAACAAAAAAAAACGGTTGATATTTCGTCAGAAATACTGAATGTTTATTAAACATTGCATTTTGACAGAAAACTTAATCATTGGTATGATTCACAAAACATTAAAATAATCATGATGATCCATTTGGTTGGTTATTCGGCGAACTGAAATTGAAAATATTAACAAATATAATTAGAAATTCTGAGATTTTATCCGACAATTCACTGAATGAGGAAAAACTATCAACATTAACTGTTTTTTTTTCCCAGAAGTTACTTACACATGATTTTCAGATATCATAACCCATGTCGACCAACATCCACTTTTTGGCACTGCAATCACATTTCGCATCCGGCATATCCATTTCAAAACCGCACGATTTGCACTTGAAATCTTCTCCAGCTCGGTTGACATCAAATATGACGAATTCTTTTCCGCAATCTTCGCAGTCAAAATGTAAATGCCAAGGATCAAATTCTCCGTCCAACTTTCGGCCCGCCATTGTTTGGAAATTGCTTGGTAAAGACAAATTCAATCAATATCAATTTTTTTGTTCAAAATTGATTCTGAATTTTTTTCCTGTATTAGAACAGAAAAAAAAATGTAAACAAAACTCGTTACTCACATGGTTTTGAATATTCTAAGGCCGTACTTAATGGAAATCAAATTTTCGCTTGGATTAATTCACTTTTCTATTTTTTTTACTTGAAAATTTGCAATGAAAACTCCAATATTTTAGTTTTGATTGGATTTTGAAAATTCAACTATTTTTGGAAGGAATAAATTGCATGTTATGCTTTTGGATTCTAAACTCGAAATGTGTGCATGAAAAATCTTGTTCGTTTTTTGACAGCAAAACGTTTCAAATGTGCTGCAACCGAGCTAAATGATGAGTTGAATTCGTATGGGTGCTCATTTATATCGTGAAAGCAACAAGCTGTAGCCACACAAACAAACCAATTTGAAACTAACACTTTGATGAAGGAATAACGGGACCGTTGTCGTATTAAAGGCAATCATGGTTTGCTTGTGTTCTTTGTTTTGTTCTCACTTTCTTGACACAGTGCAGTTTTCACAACTGTGTTCTCTGTATACAGTCTCTGTTGCTATGAAACAGAAGACATGATTTTACACGTTTGGACTCAATATTTCACAATGACACCTAGCCAATATATTGAGAATGAGACATTTTTGTGCCGAAGAGGAAATATTTTTCGATTTCATATGCTCGGTTTCTTATAATTCTAACAGCAAGTACATCATTTTTTGTGGTATGAATAACGGATCAGCAAAATTGCTGTTCGGATTCATTAGATAACAAACACTCAATATATTTAATTGAATTTTTTTTCTTATTGAAAATTATAACATGAAATGTAATGAAAAAAGAATTTCTTTGTGCATGGAATTTTGTTTTGAGTTTTCTTTTTATAGCATTCGACTTGTAAATTGGTTTTCCATGCGCGTTTTAAATCATAAAATTCGGTCCATTTTGGTTTTTTCGTGAATCGTACCGAAACTATTTCAACTTCTATGTAGTACTTTTCATATTTTTGGATTTTTAAATTCATGGAATATGGTTTTTCTAATGTCTTTTCGATGGAATTTTGTTTTCATCAAATTTTAATAACTATCCACAATGATTTAAAGTAAATATTGTCAAGTAGAATGAATGGAGGCAACAAATGTTCTTTTAATTCTTAAAGCTTGAATGAAGTACTGCAGTATATGTATTTTAGAGAGCTAATCATTGTAAATACGGATTAAAACTGACTTAAACATTTTGGTCGTTTAGTGTTTTTTTTTTATTTTATTAAAAGTGATAAATGTTATGCAATTCAGTAATTATGCCAATATAAATGGATCTTTTTATGTCATTTGTGACTTTACGCGTTGATGAATGATCTGTTTCAGAAGAAAATATTTCGCGTTTCCCAAAAAGAAAAAGAAAATTGACAGCAAAATTGGAGAATTTGCTCGAATGATTGTTGAAATCGAAGTTAAATTTTATTAGAAGAAAAATCGTCTTCAATTCTTTTTGGTCGTAACGAATTTTTTATATATAAAAGTTCATTTGTATTTAATAAATAATGAAAATAATTTTAAGAAATTGCAAAGCGTTTGAAACCACAATGTCACTTCCTCGGCAGTAATACCAACCACATCGAAATTTCTTTATTTGTGAAAATTGTTCAAGTTGAAAAAAAAAATCATTTAATTTTACGAATGATGCACCACTACCGATTGGAACATTTACATTCACAATTGGAATTAGTACATTTTTTGTCCAGACATTTGCATTTGTGTTCATTGATTCATTCACAGTTGGTTCGAGCGTTAGTATTCCAAATCATCCGAGTTGACACCAGCCATGGACAGAACTTTGACTGAACTTTCGTCACGAAAATTGTTTGGTGCTTCGCAACTAGTGTCCGTTGTCGAGCAAGTCTAAAAAATAAAAATTCATTTCAGCTTCGTTCTGAACGCGCGTTTTTTGAGGAAAAAAAAATGTAACAAAATTGTGGTGCCCTTACCTGGCAATGGCACGCATTAGCCTCCAAATATTCATAGCGTCGCGTTTCTGGATCAGCTAGCGGATGGCAAAATCGTAGCATGGCAACAGCTTTTGAGCGTCCTGCATGCACACATACTGGATGATATGATTTTTTATACGGAAATTTCCAATCGGAGATTTCACGTGAATCACAGCGACCCCAACATGACCAAACACTTACATGGTCCCAGCATTCGTGGCCTATGGATTCGAATTTCATGTGAAAAATCATTCAGCATGATTTATCGACGGTTGGTTAGATTATTTACAGAGAAAAAACGCTCCTAGGAATTTCTTACCATTTTCATCGGCTTGTGTGATTCGATATGTGTACAATCGTTTGTGACATCCTAAAAATCCAATATGCACTTGAGCTGATTTTGCATATTCGAATTAGTAATTTGATGAAAATATAAAAAAAAAACAAATTATGCACTCACCTAATGTCATTGGTGAGGATGGTTGCACCATTGCACCTTGTACGGCTGTTGAAATATCGGCTTCGCCAAAGCCCAAAATCATATTAAAAGTTACCGTTAACCAAATGACTAGAAAAATCCGAGGCTGCCTATGATTTTAAAAGGAACAAAAAATGTTGAATTTATACAGAAAAAACGCGAAAATTTATGGTTCAGTTCAATGACTCAAAAATGATAAAAAAAATTTAAACAAAAACGATTCAACTTTAATTTCGAATATTTCAAAAAAGAGTTTAAACAATTTTCCAAAAAAAAAACCACCTAATTGCTTCGAACGAGTTCATTTTTGTCTGTGTTGCAAATGTATTGTTTTGGCAAATTAATCGGCACAGCAATAAAAACGTTGTGTCTAACAACAATTCAATGATTTCGAACCGTTATTACCAACATTCAGTTTAATTACACTGGTAAAATGAACGTTCATCACACACAAAATGAAAAACGCAACCGATCATCAACACAAGTTAGCAAGTAATAATGTTGAATGTTAGAATGTGATCTCCTTTTATTGCGAACGACAATAGCCGTCAACAGCCCTTTTCATCTTCATCAGTGCACAAATGGCCTGCGCTTTCAAGCGCACTCCACAATGGCGTGTTTCCTCCATTTCGTATATCCAAGTCGGTATATATCGGCTCAGTATCGGTTAATTGAATACACAGAAGGTAAATATGTTGTTTTAACAAAATATTATGATTGAACCAGAGAGTAAAATATCGGGCAGTCGTGCCCATTTTGGGCAGTCGTCAAGCCATTTGGGCAGTTCTAAAATTGATTTTGGGCAGTTCAAAAACATCCTTTTTAAACAATATCAACACTAAAAAAAATTCAAATTATAATCATTTTCAATATTCTAAACAATCAAATTTGAACCCTAGTTGTCACTATTCACGCTAATTACTGACAACTGAGTAAGACATAAGAAAAAAGTGTTGAATGTCAAAGTTGTTGTGAAATTCAATTCTTATTCATTTTCTGTAGTTTTGCCAAATAGTGACAAAAGTCAGCCCTCAGTGGCATCAATATTCGCTAACCAGTCAAATGTGTTGGAAGATGAGAGTACTACTGACACACAAGAAAGTAAAAACATCGTTCGAATTGATTTGCACTAAGTGAAATATAAAACAAATTCATATATATGATTTATGGTAAAAACAAAATTTTGGGCAGTACTCATTTTCGCTTATTTTACTCTCTGGATTGAACATCCTACGAACTCTCTAAACGGTACATTCACTCACAGATGAGAGAATGGAATTGATTTCATCATATTACAGCGCATTTGATTTTTTTTTCCTTTTATCCGTGCGACCAATTGATTGCATTTCGTTCACATTTCTCAAATGGGTTGTTTGTTCTGTGTTTTCCACCGAGATTTGTGTCCACGCACCCACATTAAATCGAAAACGGGAAAAAATCCAACGAAGAAAAATCTAGTAAATTAATTTTTTTTCTCTTTAAGTTAACGTTAAATGGAATATCCAGAAATTTTCCGTTTTTTTTCCTTTCTCTTGTTCCTCTTCTGTGTGTGAAGAAATGTTTGAATTGCTTTGACTAGATTATACGCGATGTTTGCAATGCAATATAAATGGAAACGGTAGAGGAAAAAAATGCACATAAAACACATCAAATTAAAGGGGTGCGTAGATAAGAACACAAAAGATGACGCACTATCCATCTAATCACCATTTTTAATCCATTTCAAACAATTCATCCATTTTAATTTGCTGTATTTGGCGCTATCGCCCAATCTCTTTTTGTCGAAACCTATTAAAGGATTAATAACTCAGTTTACATTATGCAAACAAGCCATAAAGCGAATCATCATCATGGATGAATTCAAAAATGTTTATGATTATCTTCACTCCTTCTCTCCATCTATCGCTGTCAAGATGTTTAGACGAAGTCATCCACTTTTTTTTTTCGCTACCGCTGTTGAACCGTTCAGATCGACAATTTTTAGACGAACAAAGACAAAGGGAGCATTTTAATAGATTTTCACAAAGAACATAAGTATTCAAATTTATTTCGTCTGTTTACACGAAATTTATATGCGAATGTGTTATTGTCATGGTGAAGCGTCAGCAGAAAACTACCGATTTCAGGCTGGCGCAATGCAACAATAACAAAAGACATCCTCGCAACGGTTGGCGACGGTGAAAAAAAAAGAATGCGACATTTACTATCAATAAATTGTTTTTATTGAGATGACTCATCTTAACCCAATACCAGATATGTCTTCGATTTTTCGACGTAGAATATGTGATAGTGGAACATGAGCTATGGAAATCGATTTTAAATGTGTGATTCTGATGAATAAATGACGATTTTGTTAAAATTGGTCCAAAAGCTCCAGTTTCTAGCTTTAGAATCCAAAATAATGTGTTTTTATGGCCATTAAATCTATTTTTAAACTACGAAATCTATTGAAATAGAAATTCTCTCTCCTTCTCTTTCTTTGATTTTATCTACTTCTTTCTCTCCGGTTTCAGGAGTCGCTAATAAGATTTCTTTTTGCAATAAATTTATGGAAGAATTGTTATTAATTGAATATTGGGCGTCAAAAAGGAACCGTGTCAATTTCAGGATGATATTTTCATGTAGCGTTATTGACTTTCATATAACATCTTCCTACCTTGGTTTATGATTACAATAAGGAAGCCTTATTCAATGGTAATCAGTGAAAAGACGATTAAAACCAATTTGTATCGAAAAATGCGATTTTTCTTTCTTAGAAATTTTGTCCGTTGATACCTCGAGATAGTGATGGCTGTCGAATACTTTTAAACACTTATTCGACCGTTCGATATGATTTTGAAAAAAAAAAGTTCTTTTTTCGGTCGAACAAACGTTCGAAATTGTTTGACGGCCAACACTACCTCTAGAGAAGACCCAAAGTAGACCGTAGAACCAAGTGGAAAAAATGCAATTCAAGAGAAACAGCCGTGTTAAATAAAAAGACCAAAGAAATGTTTTTATTTCAAATCAATTGAAAGTCTGGAGTTTTATTTTCAAAATAATTATTGTTCAAATCTAGAATTTGGGGATGCGCACAATTTCAAAGACACAAATATTAAAATACATGCATATACGATTGATGTTAGGGATTGTTTGTTCTCATTTCTTTTATGGAATAGAACAAAAACAGAAAAAAAAACATATTATATTAGATGAGTAAATGTGAGCTAGTCTTTTTTGCAATGATAACACGAGCATTTGGTGGCCGATTTGAATGTAACATTTCTGGCACCTCCAACACAGCTCAGCATAACGTTTACATCTTCCGTTTCCATGATATTACAGCACTGTCCAACCGATGTAACTGGTTTTGGTATTTTAAAACCGTTGGCACTTGGTGCCGATGGGACTGCATATGATTCACAATATCCACGGCATGCGTTCGTATTTATTGAAAATTGTACACAGTCTGGAATTTCAATTGTTCTGCTATGACCTGCGAATAGAATTTATCGGTTGAGAATAACAACAACAACAACAATAAAAAATGGTATGCTTGGTTAAAATGGTGCACTTTGATAACATACCTACTTTGTGGCATCCAGGTTTTTGCCAAGCAATATCCTTTGAAATCACTAGTGTAGCACAAATGGCTATAACAATAACAGCTTGAATGCATGCCATCCTTTGAGTCTAGTTTGACTTGTACTTGTAACCGAATTTTTTTACACCAGTTTCCAAGCAGTGAGGATAGTACAATGAATCGATGTTGCCGATGTTGAAACGATTCGAACATCAACCGAATCTGTCTTGATTGTTACTTGCACCACTTAAGAACTAGTAATGAGCATTGACACAGCCATATCGTTGGCTTTTAAACGATTTTTTTGTTACGTTCCGACCATTCCTGTGTCAAGCGACACAAAGCAAGAAAGAGAGTGAGCGTGTGCGCACAATCATTTAAAATCCGATGAAATAGACGCAAGATGACGACGAAAAATGAGAAAGAAAAATCTGCCGCTTGAATGGAACTGTTCAATTTTGAACAGCCACAAGCATATGACCTTTAAAAATGCAACATTTTCTTCTCAATCTACTTACTTGAACGTAGGTTCACAGTTCAACAATCTATCTGCTTTTTTGTGTGAATAATTTCTTTGATTATATTCATATGGCGATAGTCACGTGTTGGCCGATCAATGGATTCATTGATCAACACAGTTTTTTTTCTCGTCTAAATTTGCATGGTCTTTGATTTCGATTGGACATTGAAATATGCGAACAGTCAATCATGATATACAATAATGCATTGTATTATAATTGTAACATCTGTCACGACGATCTGCCCACTGTGGCTTATACCAGAGGAAAAATAAACAAAATTACCAAAAATAATTCCTTTGTGACATTTTTCGTTGGTTGTCCACTTTGGAGCATTGTTAGTATGCTTTCTCTCTCTCTCTCTCTCTCTCTCTCTCTCTCTCTCTCTCTCTCGATGATTAGATGCAGTCCATAATGCACATCACACCAAAAATACACACGAATTCAACAACAATTGTAACGAACCAATTGATCACTATCACGCGGCGTTTTGAAAATAAAAATCCTTTTGCAATCAAGGCACACAAATTGATTTGAACTACATATTGATACTGAAGTAAATTTGAAATTGATGAAGAAAAAAAAAACGAAAAAAAAAATTTGATGACACGTTGTTTTCTTTCCCGACCAAATTAGAAGCGTTCTGATAACTAATAAATTGCAAGAAACTTACTTTAGTTTTGACTATATTTAGAATACGTGACAAGTTTTTTTTTCTCTGCTAAGAGAAATCCATGTAAGTCGTTAATTAGGTAGACATACATTTAAATTTGACCAATTGATATCATTAGCAAGTTTGTTTTTAGCAGTAACAGGCTTTTGGAGAACGCTTCAATATGATATCAGCATAGAATGAATGCGTACGCAATATTTACCTTTGTTTACCTCTCTTTTAATGACGCTGTGAAGAAAACGTGAAATACGATTTTTTTTTCTCTATTGAATCAATTGTTTTCTGACTCAATGTACTAATGTACTGAATTGTTACGATGTCAATGTATCAAATCCAGGGAGTGTAACTCCGAGGAGGAGGAATGGTGAGGAGGTGAATGAGGAGGTGAATGAGGAGGAGGAGAGCGCTGAGGAGGTTCTTCCTCCTCACATGAGGTGGAAATAAAAATTACCAAAATTGAGGCATATAAATTTATTTTAAACACTTCTATTGATGTTGATCGTAGTTTTTTATCGTTGGCATCCGTTCCAAATCAATAAAAGTGTTTAAAATAAATTTATATGCCTCAATTTTGGTAATTTTTATTTCCTCCTCATGTGAGGAGGAGGAACCTCCTCAGCGCACTCCTCCTCTTCATTCACCTCCTCACCATTCCTCCTCCTCGGAGTTACACTCCCTGATCAAATCAATATTCATTGCTCTAATTTATCGAGAAGGTAAATCAAAATTGAGATCAATAAACGAATAGATTTTAAATAAGATAAAAATAAACCAAATTTTCCGTTTTTCATTTTAATTAAGTATTTTCGATTGATTTTTATTCAAAATTGTTTAGATTTTTTTTTTACAAATTTTTTTCCGTTCACTTTATATATCAAAATATTGTTTCTTTTGTCATTTTTTATTTGCAAATTTTTTCCATTTTACCGGAAAAAAAATTTTCAACGTAAAAAACAGATGAAATGAAAATGAGCCGTTGAGCCGATAGTGCGTAATGTAAACGCATATTTGTCTATCGAAACTCAATCGGTCACGAGAATAATAAAACATAAATATTTAGAGTTTGTTTTTTTTTCTGGTTTGGACGAGACAAAAAAAAAGAATAAAAATAAAACACAAATAAACAACACTGAGAAGACTCAAATTTTCCTATTGCATGTTTTTTGTTGTTGTTGCGATTTGTGGTGCGCATTTAATTTTGATTAAACAAAAAGAACAAATGGTTTAGAATGTTTCGATTAACAATTGGTTAAAGTCTAAAAAAAATTGCCTTGATTTTTGGACATCGAGCGAAAAAGAAAGAAACAAAGTAAAATGCTTTACAAGAAGAAGAGAGAGATTTGACGGAACGAAACGTAAATTAAATGCAACAATTATATTTAATTATTATCAAATAGAAAACAATTATGAAAATCGGTTTTGAAATGTGTGTGTGTGTGTGTGTTTTTCATGTTTGTTTTTTTTTTTTTGTTTATCATGAGTGTTATTTTTATTGCGTGTGATTACAGTGTTGATAAAAGTGTTGAAAATATCGTCTCGAAATAGTTGTAATTAAATTCCATCGTAATTATTCAATGTTTTGCATTTCCTTTCTCTTCTTTCCAATTGTTTTACTTGTTGCCTAATTGAATCATGTTTAAATAAATGTATGCATCAATATAGATGACGGGATGGACATTGAATATATATTCAATGCAAAAAAAAAAGAATTATTATTGTGTTGATTCTAATCGAGAAAAAAAAAATTTAAACTTTTTAACCATTGGCACACATGCTCTCACACATCAAGCACTCACATAAATTCATACGCACACGGATTCATTCACATTTAAACCATTTAAAAAAGAAACATACATCATTCGTAAATACGGTAGCAATTGTTTGTTATTCATTTCACTTTTTTCAATTCATGTCGACCGGAGTTGGAATTTTGGTCAGCTTCCGGTAGATCGCTCTCCTTCTTTCGGTCTTTTTTCGATTTTTCAGCGCCGGCCACCGTTTTGGCATTGGTTGTAGCATTACGTTTCTTTATCAAATTTTTTTCGCCTAATTTTTCGCTTTTAGCGCGCAAAAAATTATTGAAAAATCGAAAAATTAAAAATCCTTGCAGTCCCCACACAGCGACCAATGCGAATTTCGTTTTAGCACTACTTTCGATGCCATAGTACAAGGTCAATAGGGCCAATAGCATCGAACCGAAACGGGTTGCAATGAAAATCGAATGGTTGATATAATGCAATTTGGTGAGCTTTTCGTCGCGATCAAAGATGTCGACCAATTGGAAAATGTGCGACACAACTTCGTTGGCATAGTGTAGGGTGAGCAATGCTAATGCAATGCGTTGGAAACCCAAGAAATAGGCGAGCGCAATAAATGAAAAACTACAGACGGCATGAATGATTTTCGATTGTTGATCCTCTTTTTTCACTTTTTGCAAGTACAGCTCAGGCAACATGTGGAAATAGTAGGCCAATTGAATGATGAAAAATAATTTGTGGAGGAAAATCATTGGATGTTCAGGGAATTGATCCCACAACAATGACAATTGGCTAAAGTATCCTTCGCGAATGATAACATCCAATCCCCATACGCATGACATCAGATAAAATACCAGTAACTGGCACGAGTCATTGAAACGGGCCAACTTAAATTTGGACAAATGTAATTTTTTCGAGATTTTCTGTAAAAAAAAAAGGAAATAAAATTCAAAATTAAATTTCAATTTCTTTGAACGGAAAACAGACTGGAATCTTTTAATCCACTAATTGATGATAGTCAATGAATGGGCTGGAAATCAGTTTTACCTCGATTAAATATTCCTGCAATAGCGCGTGCATTATGATACAAATTAATGTATAAAAGAATACGCAACACCAATCTTTCCATCCTGATTCATAAGAAAATGGTAATCCTCTGAAGTGTTCATGGGAAGAAAGAAAAGAAAAAAAATCAGAAAGCGATTAGTCTACGATGTACAAACGAAGTTGAGAGTTATTTTGTTATTTTACCTGGGATTTTCATGGCTTGGCTCTGCTCCCGTTACATTATGGTGCAATGCAACAAAAATGCTGGCTATAGGGGCAGTTGCCTTAAAAATTAAACAAAGAAAGAGAAAGAGAAAGAAAAACATAAGTCATGATGAAATTGCAATCAGCATTTCGGTTGGTCATACAAATGTAATGTTGCGAAACGGTTCCCCTGAGCATTCGAATCGAATTTTTATTTTATTTCGCTTTTCGTTTCATTCCATGTGGGATTTAAAGTCAATGTTCATTAATGATGAAAATGGATTTTGAAATTGCCGGGCATTTGATGAAGTCGATCGATGAAACGGACGGACGAAGACCTCAAAGCATGTCCAGTCATTGTCGTCATATAAAACCAAAAATCAATTAGCATGATACTACAACGTCAGCACAAAAATTGTGAAAGACAACGCACAGATGCGACACGTAAAAGTCGCTATCGTATTCACTTTAAGAAGAGAAGAAGAAGAAGAAGAAGAAGAAGAAGAAGAAGAAGAAGAAGCAACAACAACAAAAAAAACGGCCATACACATCAGCTACGTCGTACACACAACCGATTACAATACACAGACAAGCAACGACTCTCACTTGATGCGTGTGGATGCGTGTGCTACCCATAGTTGGTGATCGGGAAACTATGCATGTTATGTTTAAACGTGGCATTAACAAAATAACACACGACTACAATACACATAAGAATGAAACCGCTATGTTGGCGAATGGGGTCCGCATTTGGAAGATGTTCTCTTTTCGCTTTCATAGTTGAATCTCATTGCAAAAGAAAAAAAAAATTATGGCGAAAAAGAAGAAGCAGCAAAGAAAAAAAAATGTGGAAGAAAAACGATTGTGCATTGTGGTGGCTGTCAAGTCACCGATGTGGAAATTCCATGCATTTCGATGAGCACACGTTCACTTGTGGTGATGTAAACATTTCTGATGCCAAATATGAATTCGTTGGCAAAAATATACACACGAGCAAAGAAAAGAGAGACACCGATAATGAGCGAAACAACATAGTGGCAGCAGCAGCAACAACGGCAGCGGCAGCGGCAGCGGAACCAAATGCACAGCCGTGTCTGCCGATTTGACAATTGTATACGTATTCAAAGCTGACGTGTAGAATTTGTTGTATGGAACTGATGTATATGATCGACTTTGATATGATTTTTTTTTTCGATTCGCTGCCGCTACTGCATTTCGAAGCCATTTACGCGAATCCACATTGACAATCCACTGAATTTGATTTGTCTTCCCCGATCACAAATTCCGGGTCGGCAATATTTCTATTTTTTCTTCTCTTTCATTTTCAATCGAAAATGTTCGCATTGCCAACACAACTTGCACGACAAATGCCGGATTTTGGTTAGTTTTGGAAATTGGATTTTGTTTTCTTCGATGAAAAATGCGTTTAATTTTACTTACAGGTAACATAAGTCCCACGACAAAAACCATTGCTACACAGGAAACTATATCAGCATGATTCTGTATCACAAATTCATGGCTAAAAAACGGTGGATTTTTGTTTGATGATTTTCTAGCTATGCCGGGTTTGATTGCCATCACTACTAAATGCTATTTTATCTATATTAATAATAATAAATGTGTGTTGTTTTGTGTCGAATTGTTTTGTCTCCGGGACGAGAACGAGTAGAAATTCACGTACACCTTACACTACGGCTAATCACGTTTTGATTTTTGTTTTAGCTGATTTTTGTGTTATTTGATGTGTTGTTGCTCTGTTGTAACTTTTTAATTTATTGTACACACAGGTTGGCCTGAAACGAGATCCAACAACGACCGATGAGTTAGTGACAGTCTTTTTTTTTTTAAACTACGTAAAGAAGAGAGAAACAGAAGAAGAAGAAAAAAAAATAAACGCACTCCCTTTTCAACAACAACAACAACGAGAGCACCACGAAAACGAATACAATCAAGTGGTAGACATACTCTTCATGGAGATCGATTCGTATTCTGATTAAATATATTGACTATCACATTCGAAACAGTTTAAAATGAAATGAAATTTCGGAAGGGAAAGAAATAAGTGTAATATTGTTGTCGTTGTCGTCGTTTTCGTCGTTAAAACAGCCGATTATATATTTATATATATATATATATATATATATATATATATATATATATGCTTGAACTGTGTGTTGGAATTGGAAAGCGAACTAATTTCAATTTTTTTCGATATGTATACAAAATCAACAAATTAAACTGTTTTTTTTTCTCTGCTGTAATAATGTTTCTCGCTCTTATTATGTCCAAGCAAATGGAATCAACTGCCACCTTTTTGCGGTAATTAATTTACTCGTGCAAAATACGAAATAAACATCCAACGAAAATTAAAACAAAAAAAAGTGTTTTAAACTGAATTTAAAAAAAAAACATCTATTTTGTTTAAATAGCTACAGCCACCACACTGCTACCCAAGTACCGCACACTTAATTACACACACACACTCACTTTACACACAGCCATTTCTCTCTCACTCACTTTGCTTGTATGTTGTGTGTTGATCTTTCTATGGTTTTTTTCTCTCTCTTAATCTTTTCTCTCTCTCTCTCTCTCTGTCTCTTTTTTCTTTCTCTCTCTCTCTCTGTCTCTCTTTTCTTTCTGCCGTTTTCGCCTATATTCGACCCGCTCCCACAACTTGCCAAGATGCTTTCGTTATCGCATAACGCGTTTGTGGAACGCCCGCCGTCACTATCGCCGCCGCCGCCACCGCCGCATTGACATTTACGCTGTTGATGATGATGTTTGTTGTTGTTGTTGGTGGGACAAATGTGTCTGTGTGCAACAAACAATTAATACTACCGAACCGAACCGAAAAATAAAGCTGGTGTTTCTTGTTGTGATTAGTAAAAAAAAATAACTCAATACATTGCATTCGCCCGGTGCCGACTGAGTTCGTGTGCGTCTCATTTACACTGATAACACTCCGACTTTTGTTGTACTTTGGTTCCTTTAAATAAATCGTTGATATTTTTCCAATTCCAACCGAAAAAAACTTGCTCAAATTATTTCGAACGGAATGGTTTTTTGTCTTTCTCGGCTGAACTCGTTTCTTCGTTTGTGAACTCAATTCAAGTTTATTGATATTTTCTTTCATAGTTTTTTTTCGTGTCAAAGACATCTATTGTTTTATAGCAGTTGAATGCCGGCATACATTCATTGAACAATTGCCAACATGACTATCGAGCTATTCTCTTGTGTGCAACCTCGAAAATAATCAATCTGTTGAATACGATTTACTTGATTTTGACACTTTTCTTCTCCAACCTATTTCTTTAAAGCGAATTCAACTTTCGCATAATTTTGCCTTCAATTGAAATAAGCTTTCAATTTTTCAAGCATATTCCATTGAAAATCGGGTGTTCAACAGCAATGCTGTTATAGCATTTTGTCAGACATACACTTTTTTTCACCACTTACACCATTTTCATTTTCCATTAAAACACATGATTCGCTAAAATTGTGTACGATTCCGTATCGGTTTCTAAATAAATTCGAGAAATTTTCATACAAAACAAATTTTCAGCATCCAAACAAAACTGAAATGGTTTGACATTTCAAGAGGTTCACCATATTTCTTTATTTTTCCTTGGTTTTTGACATTTTATCTTTCATGTCTCGCTTAATTGATGTGAGTGTACTAGCACTGCTGTGCTGCTGCTGCTGCTGCAGCGTTTGACGTTTTACTCTCCATGGATTTTAAATATGGTGCAGAACTGTTGTTGAATACTTACCATATGTTTGAATAAAATACCGTTGATTTTGGTTTTACTTAAGACTTTTGTTTGAATTGGTTTAAATGAACGGTTTTTTGAACCGTTGTGCTGTATAAAGGGTTTATAAGATTAATAGATGTACATTTCAAATAAATAAATAAGTTTTATCGAAAGAAAAATATTGATATTATTAAAATGGTTCATCATTCAAACCATCAATCTTTCCATCGTTTCAATGTTCAAGTCCAAGTTTTAAACCGAATTGCAGCGTTCAAGTCTGAAGTATGCGTGAATGGTTGAAAAACCAATTGTTAGCAACAATTTGTGGCTTTAAAAGATCAATTCGCAACGAAGAGAGACAGGAAAGAAAGAAAATACAAGAAGGAAGAGAATCAAGACAATCTTGTTTTTTTTTGTCCCATTAAATAAAATATTTTATTCATCAATTTTACAACCCAAATAAAAATCCTCGCATGATAAATTCTTGAAAAAGAAAACCATAATGAATGCGTAACTATTTGTTTTTCTGCACCATGTCATGTGTGTCTTTTACATTTAAAAAATATTCTCTTTTTTTCTGTAGCCTATGAAATTGTTTGAAATGAACGGAAAAAGGAAATAAATCTACTGAAAATGAGCCACTTGCAATTGATTTCAGCTGAAGAAAATAAAACCAAGAAAAATAACGAAAATGAATGGTGGTAAAACGCGTCTCTATCATCATCATAATTTTTTTTTTTTGTAACATTCGGCGGAATTAGCATATATAATTGTGTACAAAAACCTTTTTTTTTTTAAAGTAAATTTGTTGTTTTTTTTTTAAATTGCCACGCGCGCAGCCATTGCATTCGAAATTTCCTATTGGATTATAATATTTATCACTAATGTCATGTATTATTCATTTTTTGCATTTCATTTTACTCCGTGGTTCATGAAAAAATGTTTTCTTTTTCTTCTATTAGCTTTTGTTTTAATTTTTGTTTGCTTCATTATTCGTATCAATTCATTATTTTACTTTTATATCAATTATAACATAGCTACCGTTTTGTTGTTGCTGTTGTTCTCAATAATTGTCCATCGACAGAAACAAAAACAAAAAAAACGAATTGACAATTTGCACATGTTGCATGCCACATGCTTACTTATTTATATGCAATGACTACAAAAAATATGCTCCGCACACTAAAAGTAGCTCTATATGTTTGTGCCTAGTCTTAGTGTTGCCAAACATTGCTTTTGCACTGCTTCTATTATTGGATCGGTTTTATTTCTCTTTCATCATCATCTTCTTGTAACTATTTAGTTTTAAAACTTTTTGTTTGTATATGAGTTCACTCAAATGACTACATTTCTTGTTTGGCGGAATTTCCCTTATAAATATTGCGTATGAATTTACTTTGTTGTTGCTGTTGTTTCGAGAGAAAGAGAAAAACAAAATCAATCAATAATAATAGGCTAGTTAATTCACTTTGATGCTATTACCCAAAGAGCAACGACTTCCACGTAAAATTAAACGCAACTCTCTCTCTCTCTCTCTCTCTCTCTCTCTCTCTCTCTCTCTCTCTCT